AATAGAGCAATAAATCACTCTCAAAGTTGCACTTAGAGTTTTAATAATTCTTTAAAACAGAGACGAGTGAATTAGGTAGAGTTTTAGCTTTAATGATATATTCTCTAATGTAAAGTATACACATGTTTAATAAAGCACATGTATCTAGCCTAATAGAGGGTTTAAAAAAAAAAAAAAAAAAATAGTAAATGAATTCAAAAACTCTCTCTTTCTGCTAATTCTCTGATCATATACAAAAAAGATGTTTATAAGAAGTTTTTACACTTCCTTACTAATAAAGTCTTAACACTTTTCTTAAAACAACTTGAAGTATGACTTCAAGAGTCACTTCTATCTTTTTCTTATTGTTTACAAACCTCTTCACTTAAAAACTTGACTTCTAGTGACCAAGAAAAGTCAAGTAGTACCTTTGATACCAATGGCAAAAAAGTTCCCAAAGGAAGAAGAACTGACTGTGAAGTACCTGAAGGTCTTTCTAACCTTTGAAGCGAGAGGTTTATAGAAGTTTTCTGCAATGAAAAGGCTTATTTTCTTCCTTTTTAACTATCTTGATCCTCCTAGAGCTCCTATGTTTACAGTTTTTAAGGAATTTTGTCTATCTCAGTTTAATCCTGAATTTTGAGTAGCATGAATCCTCATCAAATGTGATTGGCTGATATAAAATATGTCAGTTTTTGAAATATAAACAAGCATTTATTGAGCACACTCACGTGTCTTGATACATTATTGATGATGTAGGAAAGAAAGTTCCAAAAAAAGTGTTCCCTCCAATCATGTATGTTCAATCTTCAGAAAACAATTATAATACTGAAAGATAAGTGATGGATAGGAATAGAAGATTCAACTCCCATCTCTCTTTAAGTTCTTCAGATGGTGAAAAGACTTTCTTGAACAAAAGCTAAGGTCTCCAAGCTTCTATCCCGATCAGATAAAGTTCTTGAAAAGATTTCTTTATCCTAGTCAGGCAAACTCTTTCATAATATGCTACTGGCCTTATTAGTGATAAGCAAATCTATACATCGGCAGAAAGATAAGTTCCTCAAATGGTTTTCTTGAAATCACTTTCAGGAATGGCTAAGTTTCTTAAATGTCATGAAGCTTAGAGAAAATCCTAATCAGGCAAACCCCTTTCAAGAGGAAATTGTGAAATGGAGTAAGAACCTTTTGAAGGGCTTTGAATTTTATTTCCTCTTTACCTTTCCTTAATATCAACTTTAACAATTCATTATTTTTCAGAATAATAATCAGTAACAAACTGTTGGCAATGACCCTGGTTGACTTAGAGGCACTATTGCCAAGCCACTAGGAGAGTGAAATATTGTTCCCTAAATTTGACTTAGAGTATCTAATTTAGACTTAGTTTTGTTTAATCTAAACTAGCTTAGTAAACTTTTCATATTTTTTAAGTAATGTAGTCCTTTAACTAATAATGTACAATGACAAATTAGTCACTTTGTGAAAGTCTGTAAAATATTTAGGTATTTCTCAATATCTCAATAAAGATATGCCATTGCGACATGATTGTGGGTTAAAAAAAAAAAAAAAAAAAAATAGTAAGTGAATTCAAATTTTTGAAAACAACTATATATATATATATATATATATATATTTTGTATACATGTAATCAGACTAGATTATAGTTTATTAATCAATTGAAAACATAAATATATTTTCACTTAAGTAACAGAATATATACTATAGCTAAACATTTCTATTAAATTTAACAAACTTGTCATAAACAATAATAACCTTTAAGTTTAATCTTGAAGATAATATTTCACTTTATGATGGTTTTTGAATAAATATTCTTCTAGTTTACTACTTTATCACCAGTAATTTTTACTATCAAATGTTTTATAAAGTTATTGGAATATAGAAAACTACAAAATAATAGATTAATAAAAGAGAAAGAGAAATATTTAAAAATATTCAAATAGACTTATAAAAAAAAATAATAAAAAAAAATAAAATTCTCTAGTTTCTTTCAAATATTTACTTATAAAGACTTCTTTTCAATAAAAAATACTTAATTGAGATATCTTTTCTTTTCTTGACCATCTGAAAAACTTATTCATTTTTAATCTTGATTTTCTTCTTATATACTATTTAAGGAGACTTATTATCTAATAGGTATATTTGCTTTCAGAATATACTTGATTTCAACTTTTTTTGAGCAGTGATTTTTTATTCATCTGTAATAGAAAGATAACTTATAATAGACCCAGATTCTTATATAATCCAATAAGAATTAAACAATATTTTTTAATACAATACTTTTCAATAGTTATGTCTAGTTAAAAGAATTTTACTAGTAAATATCTTTCATTACTCAAAAAGTTGAATTCATCAACAATCATTTTGTCTTGTAATGGCAGGAGGGTTTTAAAAGTAATAAAAATCTTTATTGATTATAATATTCTTCAACAACTTTTAGAAAAATATATTCTCAACTACAAACAAAGGATTGAAGCTTAGTATGGACTAAAGACTATTTAGTCTTATTGCTTAATCAGAATAAAAAAGAGACTTTGGTCTTGAACTTTACTTGACTGGAATAATAAAAGATAAAAATCTTAGCATAAATAAATAATAACTTTTTTATCACCTTGAAACTTATTGCTTATATATTATTGGACTCCTAAAATTTGATCCGTAGATTAATCCAATTGAAAAAATAAGCTATAAATGAAGTATTAATCAACTCTTTTTATTATCAATGACATTATTAGAACATATAAGATAATTAGTAGATATTTGTTTGTATTCAATTACTAATATATTTTATTTTTACCAATCATATTTTATAATAGATTGTATTACCTATAATTTAGGTTAAACTAAGATAAACAAAATTTCAAAAAATTTCAAATAACTATAAGAAGAAAAAACCAGTGAACAGATCTTGATGTTTATTATCTCTTATTATAAAAATCTCTATAAATATGTTTCAATATAAAAGGCTTTGAGTATTATACTATTAGTTCTTCTTTTTTGCAGAACTTTCTTGTCATAAATAGAAAAGATGTTTTTTAACTTTTCTAGATCACAAGAAGTCAAGTTTTTATTTGAAGATAAATATAAATAAGAAGAGAAATTTAAAAATATTTCTTGAAATAAAATTTCAAGTTGGTTTAGAAATAGTATTAAGATTTTATTAATAAAGAAATAAAAAAATTTTTGTAAAAATTTTTTTTATATATAAGTAGAGAATCAACAGAAAGAGTTTTTTTGTTTTTTAATATTATAAAAATATATTTATTAAATTGATTTACTATTATTTTATAAAAATTAAATTAAAGAATATTAATCAATAAATTTTATAATTATTGATCTATAAATCAATAGTATAGTAATTAGTACTTTATAGATCAAATTATAAAATATAAGTTCAATTTCTTTAGAGAATCAATATAATTTTTTTGATTGAAAGTAGATAGGATTTGTATTTATTAATACTACAATAGTAACTTGCAAGTATTGAAATTAATAGTTGAAAGAATTTTTATCTGAACTATTGATAAAGTAATAAATTACTTTTAAAGTTGTATTTAGAGTTAAATCAATTAAAAGAAATGGATTGATTAAAGTTTTGGTTTTAGTGATATATAATATATATATAGTTTATAAATTGGTTAATAAAGTATATATAATTAATTTGACAGAAATTAAAAAAAAATATAAATAAATAAATTTGTAATTATATAATTAAAATTTTATTATTCTTTTTATTAGTTTTTAATATATAAAATTTTTATATTTTTATATTAATAATATTCTATTATTTTTAAAAATTATTTTATATATATATTTTCTATTTATAACTTTATATAATAAAAAATTAATTTCTTATAATGTAAACAAATAAGTACCTTTATAAGAATATTTTTAAAAAAATTAGAACTAATATACTATTGTTTACTTATTTATTAGAAAAATAATATACAGTATGCAATAAAACTTTTTGAAATTTTTTATTTATTCATAACTTAATAAAAAATTATTTAAATAATATAAAAATTTAAATATATATTTTTAGAAGTTAAAGAATAAGTTTACTTAAGACTATTTATATAAGTTTTATATTATTATTATATTAAATTTTTTATTTAAATTCCAAAAAAATTACTTATAAAATTAATTATAAATTTTTTATTATGTTTTTACTATATAAAATCAGTATGGTAATTTAATAAATTTTTTTTTACTTTTTATAATTCAATGAAAAATTATTTATTTTATATAAAATTTTATAAATATTTTTTTTTATAACTAAAAAAACAAAATTAATTAATAAAATAACTTAATAAATTTTTTAAAATTTATTTTTTTAAAAAAAAATTTTTTATGTATAAAATTTTTTGTTTATGAATTTAAAATTAAAAAATAAATTACATAATAATTTAATATTTTTTTTTTATATTTTTTTATATTTATGCTTCGAAAAATAAATTATAAAGTTTTAAATAATTTGAATAATTTTTTATTAATTTATAAGCAAAAAATATGTATTTTAAAAAATTCCAAAAAGTTTTGTTACATACTGTATATAGCATAATAACTACTATTTTATTATTTATTGATTCAGAATTTTAAGTAACACAATTTTTTTAAGCAATAAGTGATTAATAAAAAATATATTAATAAAAAAATATAAACAAGCTTTCTATAAAGATTGCAAATATTTAATAAAACAATTTATTTAATCTGATAGTTGATATTCTTAATATATACAGTTGCATTATACGAAATACTTATTTTTTTATTAAAGATAATCAATTGATAGACTACTGTATATTGCGACACGTATCATACTATGTTTTTTCTTTTCCAACTTTTTATATCACTATATTATAAGGAATTAACGTTTATGTAATGCTTAGAGCCTTTGATACAAGATGGTAAAACTTCAAATGATAGACCTTCGTCTTTGTGGATTACTTTATCGGCCCATATTAGATACTAAATCGTTATTAAAGTCCATGGAATAGGTGTATTGGGCATTAACCTTCGCATTTTGCGAAACATAACGACGCATTTGTGCCGCCAAATCCAAAGGAATTTGTCAATGCAGCCCTTATACCAGAATGATGCTGAGCGGTCTGTGGGACATAGTTAAAAAATGCGAAATCAGTTGAAGGATCTCCGGGGTTGTGAAGATTTAATGTTGGCGGAAGGATGTTCTATTGATGATGATTTACAAAAATTTGTTAATAATGACTAGACAAGAAGTAAATGATGACAAGACTTCATAGGTACATTTTTTATTGCTAGTATGGTAAAGATTGCTTCGACTGATCCGGCTGCTCCCAGCAAATGTCCTATCGAACCTTTTGTCGACGATATCGCCAATTTCTTGGAGCTTTCGGTATAACCATCTCGAATAAGATTGCCAAAGATTGATTTTATCGCTTTATTTTCCGCAATATCCCCTTATTTTCAGCAATCGTTTGATTACTTTCTTTTGTTAATCAAGAAAGGTTAACAAAAATCAAGTTATCAATCATTCCTACCTAGTGGTGTTGATGTAGCATGTGCATTTATATAATCGATATTTCCGGAGGACAAATGAGCATGCTCCAGTGCTCTACGCATCGCCAATTCCGCTCCTATCCCACTTTCGGGAGGTGCTGTGATGTGGTGCGCGTCGCCTGCAACAAGGTATATTTTATAATGTGAGTTTCTTCGTATCTGCACATTTAGATATGCACTAGATGCCATCATACCTGATAAACCGTAACCGCGTATCTCTGCGTAAATTCGTGCACCACGATTTCTTGCGTGATTATATTCCTATTTTTACTCGTTATTGTTAATGAAACCAATCAGTAATTAAAATTCGAGGTAGAGTTTACTCACCTCGAGTACAACAATTCCAGCACCTTCACTCATCACAAATCCATCACGATCGCGATCGAAAGGACGCGAAGCCTCTTCCGGTCGATCATTATATTTTGTCACTAGCGACTTTGTCCTTGATAATTCGTAAATAACAAATAGAGGCTTTTACTTTCAAAGTGTAAATTTATATAAGATTACAAAGAGATATAAAGGAAATTCTTTTACTTTTTTACTTTTTTTTTTAACATTTACCTTGCAAATCCTGCAACCGCCAATGGCAATATGCAAGCTTCTGATCCACCAGCGATCATAACATCCGCGTCTCCGAATTGTATAAATCTACTTGCGTCGCCGATCGAATGTGCACCGGTTGTGCATGCTGTTGATACAGAATGATTCGGTCCCTATCGTTAATATTATAAAGACCACGATATCAATTTGTAATGTTAATGATATGCTTTTCATAAAGGTGATACTTACACGGAATCCATATTTCATTGTCAAGTGCCCTGCTGCCATATTGATCAACATTCTTGGCACGAACATTGGGCTTACCTTCCTTGAACCCTTAATTTTTTAAAAAAAATAAAGGCGCAATTAATTAGTCCAAGTCCCTGCATTAATTTTTCACGGTATTCATTAAATCGATACCTACTTGAGAATTAAAGGTATTAGTTGCAGAGATGACATCCTCGAGACTTCCAATGCCAGATCCTATGCATACACCCTGTATGTATAGAGTATGCATGGTAGTAAGGAAGGAGAAGTTTCATAGTTATACAGGTGTACGAGCCCACATACTGTTCGATCTTTTTCGAAATCAGATGTAGGTGCCCATTCAGCATCCATTATTGCTTGTTTTGCTGCGCAGATAGCATACTGAGTGAACAATGCCATTTTTCTCTCGTCCTAGTCAACATTTTGAATTGCCGCTTATTTTAAAACTACGCGCGTTAGATATCTAATAGACAGGTGTAATGTTATTGGCATAATAGTTACCCCACGATCCAACCATTCTTTTGGGTTAAAGCCACCAACCTCATAATTTCCAGGTTTCACTACTCCGGCCACGGTTGCTGGTAAATCATTAAATATACCTTTTGCTATCTCGTGGTATGGCAATGCCTGAGCATTGTCTTGACCGCTAGCACTATCCTCTCTCTTGACGTTATCTGATTTTAGAGTGATTATGCCACTTTCATTATTTATCAACTTTTGCCAGGAATACTTCACGCCAGTTGACAAAGGTGTCACCAAACCTAAACCCGTTACCACTACCCTACGGAAAGACATTCTATACAAAATCCCTGGTGCAGATGTGCAGATCCAGGATACATATTTATTCAATTATGGCACGTGACAACATGACTATGCAATTTATGTTAATAATTCATCTATAGTTTCTCTCAATCTTTTGATATAGTCATCTCCAATATCTTCGAATGGGATCAAAGAACATCCGAAAATGTTGTCAAAATGTTGACACAATGTTGGAATCACTTGTTCCACGGTGACATTCTCTGATCGTCCTCGTTTATTAATTTCCTTGGTCAAAGATGTTGGTTTTTTATCATCGAGTCCACAAGGAGTTATATGATCGAACCAGCTTAGATCATTATTACAGTTTATCGCAAATCCATGTGAGGTTATAAAACGCTGCACCCGAATTCCTAGTTGAATAAATTATGAGCATAATTTTTCTTTCTCTTCCATTAATCGTTCAATATAATTCATAATTCGTACCAATCGCACATATTTTTTCATCTCCAACCCAAACCCCAGTATTCTCTGTTGATCGTGCAGGAATGTCATAAGTTTCACACGTCTTAATGATCACACGCTCTATGGCATTTACATAACATCGGACGGAAAGCTAAAGAAGCAAAGTTTACTGACTGATATAGTAATGCACGTAAAAGTAAATAAATATATATATATATATTACCTTAAAATTTCGTAGGTCAATGATTGGATAACCCACTAACTGTCCGGGGCCGTGGAAGGTTGTTTGACCTCCACGTAATGTCTGAGCGGATAGGATAACTTTAAAGAAAGAATTAAAAAAAAAACCAATAGAAAGAACCTAATAGCCCACTTTAAAATATTCTGCGCCTAAATTTTTTAATTGTACTTCATCTTCCTTGCTATCTTTAGCTCTGTCCCTTCTTCCGGTCGTATAGGTGGGGGGGTGTTGTAGTAGTAAGAGTAGATCCGGTAGAAGTTCATTTTTAGTTTCTAAACGACGTTGAACTAAAATCTTCTGCAGTCTTAAAGCTTTCGCATAAGGAACTTGTGAAAGATAGGTGTAAGGAAGAACGGGAAGCGAGATTCCCGAATGAGAATATCGAGCCGTTAAACCCATTTTGAATCCCCCTAGCCAAATCAAGAGTTTCTTTTTATTAATGACATGCCATTGAGCAGTGGGTACCGTTCAACGTGAAAACCCACCTTTTGCAAAAAACATATTGTGCAATGGCGAAAAGTGATACAACATTACTTGTCAGATTTGTCTTTATGTCGTGAGAGAACTCATAATTTTCAATTCATCAACACTATATTTATATATTACCGCTTTTATCATTTAATTTTTATTAATTTTTTTTAAAAAAATAAAATGCTTGTATGGAATCTGTGATCCTTTTTTTTTTTCACTTCGATAAGTTTTTTCGTATATTTGCAATGTGCTCCGGAGTAGTTTGGCAACAGCCGCCTATGACCATTTTATCGCCGGATTTTTCTATCCAAGTTCTTGCGAGATCACCGAATTCACCTGAAAAAATTAGCGATTCGATTCAGTTTAGCAAAGGTAACTTTGTAAACATGAATCAGGCAAACCTGGACTCAATCCTGTACTCAAATCCCAAACCTTTCTAACGGGATCCCAAATGCATCCTCCGTCAGGATAACAAATTACAAATTTTTCAGAATTCCCGAGCGCATTCAATTCTTCACGCACGATACTAACCAAATTTGCAATAGATTTAGGCTTGGTGCAGTTGATGCCAACGCCCACAATACATTCCACCTTGCAACACAATCTAACGCAACTGATCAATTCTTCTCCGTGTGAAACCAACGAACCATTTTTACAAGAAAATGAAATCCAACATGGGAGCAATGGTGGAACGGATTGATTAGGGGATAGGTCTGCTTTCTGATACCTTTGATCATTCAATAATTTACAAATAACTTCGGCTTCTTGCAACGAAGGAATCGTTTCGAATGCGATTAAATCAATCTCGGGAAATTTTGGAAGAAATGTTTCCAGACGTGACCGATGGAACTCGAGGATCGTTGAGCTGGTGACTCCAGAACCATAATTTCCGGTGTACTCTGAACCATCAGCCAGGATCGCACCATATGGACCGATGGAAAGGGCTATAAGTGGTTTGATGCGTGCATCAGTATTCTTGCTTTTTTCGTTACGTTGCAGATATGAACACCAAAATTGATCCCTCGCTTCAACCGCGAGAGAAACTGATCGGTGCATCAACTCTGTAGAGCGTTCTGGCGAAAATCCGGCTTTGATAAAGCCTTGTGCGGAAGCCTGGTAGCTGTATAACGATATTACTGACGAAATGTAAATCACTTATTCAACATGACACCCTAATAGCAAACCTGCAAGTGGTTATGATATCTGCCCCGGCGTTCAGGTAGGATGTATGAACATCAAAAATGGCCTTTGGATCTTCGTACAATAAAGCAGCAGACCAGAGATGGGTTGAGATATCTTTATGAAAGGAAAATTGCAACTCTGTTGACATTCCGCCATCTAGAATTAGGGGCGTCGAGATATCAAGAAGACTTTTGATATTCATAATGAATGTTGAACGGAAAAATAGATCATTCGTCCTGCAACATCTTGCAACAGCTTGATTGGTTGATTTCGACAATTAAAGTTAGGATTAGGGTCAAATCGTATCTTTGCTGCTTTGTAAGATGTCCTCGCAGAAATCCAAGGAAGTACGTCGTCTCTTCTCCACAACCTTGCAACAACGTCAACAGCAAAAAGCTTCAAGTTCAACTGTTTCAAGGATAAACCACCGTTTTGCAAAATACGAAGATAACGATAAGCTCATATGCATTGTGTGTTCCATCCAAATAAAAAACTCTGCATCCTGGAACACACACTTGATCAGCTCGGCACATAAAGAGGCTTTGAAAAGACTAAAGGATGTGAAGAACAAGGTCGTGGAGTCTTCAACACACGACAAAAGTAAAATAAAAAATGCGAGTCTCTCTTTCGATACAACTAAAAAAACCAGTGTAGAAAATGGGATTATCCCATCACCCGAAAATGACAAAAAGAGATCGATAGAAACAGAGTCAAGCGATTTGATTGATTATGATTCCGAAGGAAAAGATGAGGAAGACGAGCAAGCAATTCCAAAAGTCAAAAGGGTTAAGTTCGACGTGGATGGAGCCGAACCTGAAGTTTCTGCAGACTCATCTTTGCCACGCGATTTCTTTGATGAAAGTGACTCACCGGTCGAAGTGCGAGAGCAAATTCCTGACCAATCAGATATGGACATAGATAAAACACAAGCAAAAGACCTTGTCGAAACGGCCGATCAGGTGCTTCCGGCAGACTTTTTTGATAATCCGTCAAAGGCGTCGTTACACAAACCGATAAGAAATGCAATCCAACAAGAGACCACGGACGAAATAGACGAAAAAGAGTGGATACAGTTTCAAAAACTTATTTCTAAAGAAACACAAGTTAGTGATCAAATTGCATTCGTCGAAGAAGAAGAATTACAACGAGATAGGGATGAAATGTTAGAACGAGAGCAAGAAATGTGTTTCCAAAGGTCCGAGCGATTAAAGGCCGCCGCACAACGTGTCAAGGAAAACAAGGAAAGGAGGATGCTGGATGTTATCGAAAAGAAAAGTACAGAAGGGCAATATAGTGAGGACGATGATGAACAAGATGACGGAGACTTCGAAAATGGATGGATGGATTGGCGGGCACAAAGAATAATATAAATTTCGTTATTGAGTATCAGATTGAATAAAAACAAAAAAAAAAAAAGGAATTGAGTTTTGTGAGGATGTTGTTGTTCCGGATTATCCATAAGTGATTCGACGCATCTGAAAATCATAATACAACAGGGTCTTGAAATTCATGCTCGTTTTTATTTAGCAACCAATAATTCTTAAGGGAAAAATTCCATTCATAAAATAAAACATAGGTCAATCCAAATAAATAGGTAAAATGTGTATGTATAATTGGATAGACTATATTGTATAGTGTGCTTTCAAGATCGTAATGCATTATTACCTCTCAAGCCTTTGACCAAAACATACCCCTTGTCCCTAGAAAAAATCCAATTATGCTCGTCCAAGAAACGACTTACTGCATCCGGCAATTTCGCTATCCCTCTGGGCGAATGATTACCTACGCCGGTAATAATTTTTAGGGGTCTCAGAGACATATTACCTAAGAAGGTTGATGATCGTGAAATACTCTTTAGAATGAGGGACACACAAACATCCTTCTTACCGGATTTTGTCGTGTCTTTTGAATACCACTTTCTCAACCTCTCTCTTACCACCGTCAGGGCTTCATTGACCGTCAATCCGTGGAGATCAAGTAAATAGTCATCTCCGCCTGCCTTACTTTTAAATAAGATATGAAGGGAAACTGAGTGGACATGCAAGTAAAGATTCCCGACCAATCACCGAGTTTTCGGTGCATCAAGTTAATGGTCGATACCTTCTTTGCTGTACTACAGATCTTGCGGCCCTCATCTTCCACTTTTTTATTTCTTCATCGTAATCATGTCCCTAAGTAGGAATCGGTTGCATTCTTACATCTATTGTCACAGGTTAACCTTAATCACGATTCAAATAATTCAAAGATTTACCATTCTTGAATAGTGAGATGCAATTGCACCCTCTCCGTTGCGTGAATTACGTGAATTTCTCCAGGATTTGAGCGCTTGTTTAAAAGCATCATTACGCTTCTCCGTGAGATCGTTAACCATCTTACGGCAATGATCGGGATCATAATCTGAGTACTCTTCTTCGTCCGAAAATTTCTCGTCGCGTGAGAATCTTGACGAGGAAATGATAAATGAACTTCGCATTATGCTCTGGGACTTTGTCGAGTTATTACGGTTTTTCTTCTTTTGGCTAATTCTAGATTCACTGGTTTCAACATTAGAACAGATCTCAGTGTTTTCTACCTCTAACAATATATTGATGGCACGTTCTACCACACCGTTGACATTCTCCAAAATTTCCTCCAACAGTTGAACATCGTGTTGAGGAAATATTTCGGATAATCGTTTTATCGACTCGCGTTGATTGGTTAAATTTAGTTTATTATTGTATGCCAAATCAACATTCTCTTTTATAATACTCGAGTAACTCCTCATTTTATTTTCGGGAGGAGTCGATGAAGGTAACGGCGGCCACTGAGCATCCCAGGATGATGATAAACTTGCGGATGCCGGTGATTGCAACGATGCCGGACTAGAATCAAAATTCGGAGGGTAAGAATCATCTTGTCTTTTCTTCTTTTTCCTCTTTCGAGGTTTTTTTAATCGTGAAGGATCATTATCATCATCGTCTTCTCTCACCGTGAAAATAGCAGGTGATGATGATGTATACGAGCGAGCACTTTCCTCCTCTCTCCCGTTCAAATATAAATCAAAAAAGGAATTGAGTTCATTTCTTTCCTTATATTCTTTAAATTTTTCAAACAATAATTCGACCTCTGGCGACTCGGAGAAACATTCCACAAAGAGCTCCCATAATTCGCCTTCAAGCTGCGTATCATCACTAGTACTCTCGAAATCGAATTCGTCCCAAAAATCGAGACTGGTTACAGAACCTTCGCCTTAATTTTGCGAGGTTTAAAATGTCATGCATGTGTTCAGAATATAAAGCACATTCATTTTATTGTGAATTTTCTAATTACCATTATCATACGACGAGTTCGGTTCACTCGAATAACCTCTATAGTTGCTACCGCTGTTTTCCGACAATTCAGATTCGCGTTCAAATTCAAAAGCATTAGCCTTGACGTAGAGAGAGTGAGAATTAATTAAGCAGAGACGTATTAAAAGAAAAGAAGGTTAACATTGACACCTAGATAATCGTTTGATGTTCTCTAATTTAGAAATACCGAATTGTAATTTTGAAGAAATATTAAAAACTGCTATCTGGATAAACTCTCGTGTCTTTCTTACAAAAGGAAATTCCCTCTACACCACCATTCGTAGTGAAAGGGTCGGAAATTAAATGTAGCACACGACAAATCGAGAGTAATAAATACACCTCCCACCTCAAATTTCTTTGGTTGCGAAAAATTCATTTTGAAGTTATTTTGGTAAACGGAGTCGACGCAAAATGAAATTGTTTCCATGCGCAAGCTTAAGAAGAAACAATAGCATTCCATATCAAACTATTCTCCAATATATGTTAATTACACTGTGTTTTGTACTACCAAAACTTCCAATCTTAATATGGAAATCTTTTAAAGGCAAGAAAGCAGGTTTTCGCTTAAACGTCACATGGCATCAGATCAGCATATACGTAATATAGCTCTTTTTTGAATTTCGATCTGCCCTAGTCAAATGTTTTCAAAACATTTCTTGAGAAGTGTTCATGGAAGGTCTCGAATTTTACATAATCCTGGGGTCCGACGTGCCTTTTCGATCTCGAAATTTACCCGTGCGGAAATTAACGAAACGCAGGTTTCGTAAGATCTTTTGTCATGTGTATTTCTTTGGGTTTAAATGCCAGTGAAATTTATATCGATGCGTTTAATTACTTCAAAGAATCGTGAGGATTTGAAACACGTGTGTAGTGGGATAACCAACATAACAACACTACCAAATGGCATACGCGTCACAACCGAGAATACACCTGGACATTTCTCAGCAGTCGGGGTGTGTGTGGACGCGGGATCAAGGTACGAGACGCCGCGAACTATAGGCGTATCTCACATTGTAGATCGATTGGCTTTCAAGGTATGGAATTAGAAAGGTCATCACGTTGCAATTGTTTCAAATTATATTATATATTTATATTTATTCAACTTGCAAAAATATCAAATTTTTTCTTATCAGAGCACAAGTACCCGCACAAGTCAAGAAATGCGAGACATAATAGAATCACTGGGGGGCAACGTTATGTGCGTTAGCAGCCGTGAATCGATCATGTATCAATCTGCCATCTTTCCCAAAGATTTGCCCAAGATCATAGAGCTTTTTGCGGATGTAATTCGTAACCCTCTCATTAGTCCCGAAGAAGTATCTGAACAGCAGGAAACAGCATTGTATGAAATTCAGGAAATATGGAAAAAACCGGAATTGATCATGCCAGAACTGCTTCATACTGTTGCGTTTAAAGACAACACGCTGGGAAATCCGATATTGTGTCCAGAAGATAGACTGAATATAATGTCTCCAGAAATAATAAAAGATTATATGTCGACATTGTATCGTCCAGAGCGAATAGTCGTGGCTGCTACTGGAGCACGCCATAGCGATGTTGTGGAATTGGTTTGGAAACATTTCGGAGACATGCCGAAATCCCCTGAATTTAATACGCATCCGTCGTTGTCGTACCCCGTCACCTCATCCAACCATAAACAATCCAAGACATCTTTGTACAAAACCATTACCACGGCGGCAACATCAATACTCCAATTGAAACCCGCAACGACATCTCCTGTTGCGAACCAAAAAGCACAATACACGGGAGGTGCCCTTTTCATGGATCAGACACTCCCGCACACACATCTTTACATGGCGTTCGAGGGAATCTCAATTCACGACTCGGATATATACGCACTTACCATACTTCAAATGTTGCTCGGTGGCGGGGGTTCCTTTTCTGCCGGCGGTCCTGGAAAAGGAATGTATACCCGTCTTTTCACAAATGTCCTTAATCAATATCCATGGATGGAATCATGCATATGCTTCAACCACTGTTACACAGACTCTGGTCTTTTTGGTATTATGGCATCATGTCGTCCGGAATATAACCGTGATCTCGTTGATGTTATCGCCCGGCAATTCGATTCCGTGACAAGTTATGGACGCGGCGGTGTAACTCAACAAGAGCTTATGCGCGCAAAAAATCAATTGAAAAGTAGTTTGCTCATGAATTTGGAATCGAGGATGGTTCAATTAGAAGATCTCGGAAGACAGGTCCGTGAATTGGATAACATGCCTAAATTAATTTTTAAATTCAACAAATTACTATATCGTTTATCATTGCATTTTAGGTTCAAGTTCATGGATTTAAAATTCCCGCAGAGGAGATGTGCAAAAAAATAGATGATGTTTCGTTAGATGATCTTGTGAGGGTTGCAAGAAAAGTTATCAAAGAAAAAGTTAGTGGTACTGGTGAAATTTCGGTAGTGGCACAGGGTGATCTGAATGGATTACCAGATGTGATCAAGGTTTGCGAAAGATATGGTCTGGGCAGAGGTGGTTCAAAATGGCTACGTTAATATGCAGTAGTCGTTTTTCTCATGTAAGTTCGATAATTAAGTTAATTGGGCAAAACCTTAAAAAAAGATAGAATTTAGGGAATTGTGATGTAAGGTTATAACCTTTAGCAATGGTGTTAAGCCTAATATTGTCAATAAGCTTCCTGAATAGTCTTGAATAGCTTTTTCCATCACATCGAAAAGACAATTAAGTTGCTGGAATTTTATATTAATTTCTTTTTCGCTAACTCTATTTCCCACCTCTCGTTACTTCCTAATCTGTGGTAGTAAACGAAATCCCTTCCCCTTTAAAACTAAGATTAGGACAATTCTGTGAAAATTTCTTTGAAATGGCACAGTGATGATCTTGATTGAATGCTACGTGTTTGATTTTTGTAATTGAATTTTTTTGCAAATTCATAATTATAATTTTGCTGTGTTTTAATTATTGAAAGCATTGTAATTGATTAATATATTAAACCAAAAATAATTATTATTTTGATATTTAGAATTATTATTTTTTATATGTGATAAAATTTAATTTTAAAAATTTCAAAAGATAGAATTATGGTAGAATTACTATGTTTTTAATAGTAATTGGTAAGATCAATTAATGGTAGAATTATGGTAGAATTACGATATATGAATAATTGGTTTGAAAAATTTTTTTTTGTGTTTAAAATTATAACACCAAAATTATATTTTAAAAATATGATTTAAAGTTATATTTAGTAATTTTGTTAATTATAAGTATATTAAAAAGTTTAATAAAATTTCAAAAAAAATATTAAAGTTATCAAATAATTATAGAAATAACTTTATATTATTATATTATATTTTCATAGAAATAAAAAATTAGATATAGTTGGGTTGTGTATAATTATAAAAAAAAAAAAAAAAATTAAATACAGTTGCTTCCAAAAGTTTAAGTCTACTTACTATGTTTTTATTATAAATTTCAACTTTGACAATTTTTAAATCCTTAATTATACAATCAAAAATGATGAAATTCATATATATTATATTAGTGATTATATTTGATTATCAAATATTTGATTTATTCTAATAATTATTTGTACCCCTGAAGTTTGAACATATTTGATATATTCGAATATTCAATAAATCAGGTAATAAATATTCAATTTATTGATCCACCAATCAATTACAAATAAAATATATACATATCTAATTACTGAGTTGCGATCCACAGTTCTTAACTAATTTTGCTTTTCTTCAATCGATCAAATCAATCAGGATGGTAGTTACTACTAATTTGATATATTATTTTTATTCTTAAGTACAATAGTAAGTAGACATTGTTTTGGATTGTAAATGCATTTTTTAAAAAAATTTCTATTCTTATGCTAATTTATTACAATCTTTCTTTCTAGATTTAATTATTATATTTCTTTTTTCGGAGAGAAATATTATATTTATAGCTTGCAAATTTATAGCGAAAATAAAAATATATCAAGGGAAATAAAGGTATAGCATTTATAATTATTTAAGAATGGAAGGTATAAAATTTTAATAACTAAAATTTTATTATTTTCTTGATTCATTCAATTATTTTATTATGTGATAGAAAATATAATTAGCTTATTAAAGGAAATGAATTTTTAATAATTTGTTTATTTTATAATTTATAGATTATAAAAAATCAGAAGAATGACTTGCTGTTGTTATCAGGGGTGGTAAGTCAGTCACTATACCAGATTTTCATCTCATCACTTGTTAGATCTTCTGATTTAATTTAGGCTTCAAAACATATTTTAACTTGGCTAAGTTTTAACTTCACTTTCACTCTAATCTAGATAAACAAAATGTAGTTTCCATTTTACAACCTTTAGTTACAGTTTCTTTAGTGGTTTACTGATTGTCACTGAACTTTTGATAAAATCAGTTTTATTAAAGATCAAGTTGTTTCTCTAATTTAAGATTAATTACATGCTTATATACCAATTTTATTATTGTTACTAATTATACTATAATTATAGATATTTTATCAAGGCATATACATATCACGTTACATGTAGGTGTCACATTGCTGGCCTATTATTTTCGTCCATAATATTGTATAAAAATTCAATCTTATCAGGCTTTTTGTTATATAATTGATTTATATATATTAGTTATGAATTACTCTTTAACAATATTTAATACTATTTTTTATTAATAAAAATTAATGAATACAAATTATTAATATAATTACTGTATATTATTAGGTATTTTCATCTAATTCTACTAATTCATTAATATTTTGAGTTTTGTAAGTATCAATTATTTTTAAATTCTGTTTTAAAAATAACATCTCTCCTACTAATTCTGAATTTAATCTACATCTTCAAATAGATATATGTTGTCCTGCATCTGAAACTAATCTTTTGCTTGGAACAGAAATAACAGGAATTGCTAAGTATTTATGTACTAATTTAGCAATATTCAAACATATTTTCATAGCATTAACCCACCAAATACAAAAATTTTCAGTTGGCTTAGTATCCGGCATAACTAAATAATTATTAATTTCATCTATACAAGTATTATTTGAAAACATTTCTTGAGAACTAAATAATGAATGAAATAATGTAATACTTTTTCATGTAAAATTTCTATGATAAGTTTGTTAAAATATATCATTAGAAGAAAAATTTGAATTAGATAAAGAATTAATATTCAAATTTTAAATTAACTCAAGTAACTCATTATGTAAAATATTATGTGTATTTTGTCGATCTTCTAATATTAAATCTCTTAGTGATTTAAAATGTGGAACTAACAATCTAGCCGTAGTTCCTAATTTCGAAGAAATATTTCAATAATGTTTAAGAATGTTATATAATTTTTTCATAATATTATTAATTATTCCTTTCATATTTTGTAATTTTGAAATATCTAATTTTAATCATTTTTTTGATTTGCTTTCAATATATTTGATTTTAATATTTGTTTTTTCTTCAACAGGATATAAATCATCATTATCTAATATATCTTCATGATTATTATAATCTTATAAATCATTATCAAATTCTTTAGATATTGACTTGAATTGTTCAATTAATATATTAATTATAGGATATATAAATCCTAATATAGGATATATACTACTACTTAAAAATCACGTTGCTTCTTCAAAAGAATCTAATAATTTAATTAATTCTTCCATAAATTGACACTCTTTCTCAGTAAGCATAATTTTATTGAACCAATTAAAATCTTTTTGATATCTTGTTCCATAAGTCATGAAATATATGTTGGTAAAATTATTATTGCATCTTTTAAGTCCAAAAGCTGATTCCAAGTATAAAAAGTAGAATTACATCTAGTCTCTATATCAGCTATAACGTGATAAATTTTAGAAAATTCCAATGATTTTTGTATAGTTATTAAATGTTTCATTTGTTTAATTGAAGAAAAAAAACTAATCAATTGTTAGTCCGTACTATAAATATTTCTATAGGTACTAATCCTTTGTTAATTGTTAATTGTAATGTATGAGCCGTACATCCTAACCATTAAATTGGTACCAAATGCTTGATTCCTGCTACCATATTTGCACCGTTATCAGTTGTAATAGATATAATTTTATTGTTTAAATTCCATTTAGAAATAATTGTTATAAGTTCATTATATATTGTTTCAGAAATATGAGGAAAAGGAATATATTTAAGATCTAAAACTACTTCTTTCATTTCAAATGTCAGAGTTAACCAAGAACAAGTTATATCAAGATATTCTTCCTTGTTTCTAGAAGTCCACATATCTGTCATCAATGTACAAAACTCAAGTTGTGTTTTACTTGAATTCATTAATAATTCCATTGTATATATGCTTGTAGTGTTCAAAATTTTGATCCGAATCCGATTGATCCATGAATCGGATATGAATCAGATCGGATCAAATTTCAAAATTTTTAATCTGATCGGATTCAGATCGAATCGAATTTTAAATTTACAAAATT